GAGCCCCGTGGAAGCACCATGCCTATTACAACGCCCTGACAAATGAACGCAGAGACCTTTTACAGTCTGGGCAGATACTCTCTGGGATTTCTCTTCACTGCTATAAACTCTTTCAAGTGAGCGCTTTTTATGAGGGATAAGAATCACAGAAAGCAGGATAATGGCGACAACAATAATATGACTTTAGTCAACTCTCAGTTGGCTTTACCAGTGTAGTGGGGAAGAACACGGACAATACAAAAATATCAGCTGACTTTCCTGTCATTCATTTGGCTTTGGAATTTCTTCAGAAACTCTTCACCCATGTTTATATAATGCTAAGGCCCTTGATGGCCCTATCTCCACCTCAGTCTGGAGCCCCAGGTAAAATATAAAAGATTTTCTCAATTACCAGCTGGAAAGCTCAGGACATTTCTCCAGGTCTCTAATTTTATTTTAATTTTATTTATTTATTTATTTATTTATTTATTTATTTGACAGAGCGAGAGAGGGAACACAAGCAGGGGGAGTGGGAGAGGGAGAAGCAGGCTTCCCGCAGGGAGCCCGATGCGGGGCTCGATCCCAGGACCCTGGGATCATAACCTGAGCCGAAGGCAGACGCTCAACGACTGAGCCACCCAGGTGCCGCCCGGTCTCTAATTTAAATTTATGTTCGGTTTCCTTTTTCACTGTTTTGTGCTCGGACTCTCGCAGATCACTGTTGGGCAGGCTGCTTGTTTTCTCCCAAGATGTCCGTCTTCCTTGGCTACAGGCTCTGTTTCATCCTCACCCCATGCCTGTCTCAGGTTCTGAGAACTTCATGTTCTCATCTGTCCTGAAGGAGAAACGGACAATTAGAGACACATGCTGTCACTCTTGTCCCTTTTCTTCCCAATCAGACTTAATCAGACCGTAGTGACTCATGTTCTTTTTTCTGGTTTGATCTTGAGTTGAAGGTCTGTAGCACAAGCTTCTGGATTACAGTGGATAATCTATTATGGTCACATGGTGTGGTAAAAAGTACATTGACTCTATAAATATTAACTCATTTCCTAATCTGTTTGTGGATGAATGAGAAATGATCATACCTGGAATTTATGTAATGCTTTCTTCCAAAGAGCATACAAAGACATGATAGCACCTCAATGACTCAATGAGAATATTTATTATATTGGTAACATGAATAATCTGTAACCCGATTGGGGGATGAGTGATTGCTTGTTGTGAGTCCCACACCTGGCTGCACATCAGCACCCTTTCAGGAGCTTCTTACAAATACGGACTTTTTGGGTGGCATTTGGGAAAAACAGATTTATATTTTTCCACCTCTATGAAATTTTTCAATAGTGATGGCTCCCTAGACCGGTGCTTCTCGAACTTTAATATACATATAACTCATCTAGGGAATCTTGTTAAAATGCAGATTCTGATGCACTAAATCGAGGGTGGTGCATGAGATTCTGCATTCTGACAAAATTCCAAGTGATGCTGATGCTATCTGGAGACCACAATTGAAATAGCAAGATCTTAAACTGGAGAGGGGAAGAGGAGAGGGCAGGAGAGGGAGGTTGAATTACCTGGGAAACCAGAGCTCCATGCCCACACCAATTCAACCAGAATCTCTGGGGATGCGTTCCAGACATTGGTATTTTTAAGGAATTTTCCCGGGCATTTAAAATATGCAATTGGAATTGAGAGCCATTGTTCAAGAGATGCCCTGACCACATCTAATATCCATTTCTTTGTAGTGAGGGCAGGAGAACCTGGGCACATCTCCCTTGTACTAAACTGAGAGTTTTGCTGCTTACAGCAGAATTTCTCAAAGCATGTCCTTGAACCCACTTGCATCAGGATCACCTGGGCACTTGTTATAAATGCACATTCCCAGGCCTACCCACAGATAGCCTGAAAAAGAATTTTCGAACTGGGGCTCAAAAGTATAATTAGAAGCAGTCTGTCCAGGTGCTTCCCATGCACCATGAAGTTTGAGAAATACTGGCTTATAAAATCCAATCCAATCTCTTTATCCTTAGAGGTCAGGGGTCTCTAAACAAGTTGGTCTCAACCAGATTTTTGAGCCCTCTCTTTTCCTGCCCTACTGTGTTAATCTCCTGTGGTAGGCAGCTTCTACGATGGCCCCCAATGAGCTCTGCTCCCTGGTATTCATGCTCTTGTATAATCACCTCCTTCTCTTGAGTGTGAGCTGTACTTATGGACTTACTTCTACTGAATAGAATATGGCAGAAACAATGAGATGTCACTTCCAAGATTAGGTTACAAAAAGACTGTGCCTTCCATCTTGGAAGCTCTATTTCCAAGTTCTTGCTCTAGGGAAGCAAGCTGCTATGCTATGACGAGCCCTCTGGAGATGCTCACATGAGGATCACCAACATCCACTTGAGTGAGTTTGGAAATGGATCTTTTTCAGTCAGTGTTGGAGATGACTGGCAACCCAGTTGACCTCTTGATTACACCAAATGAGAGATCCTGAGCCAAAGGACCCAGCTAAGCCACACCTGGCTTCTTGACTTATAGAAACTGTGAGATAATGAATGTTCGAGCCTCTAAATTTTGTGGTAATTTGTTACAGAACAATAAATAACTAGTACGCCCACTTTGAAATACCCCTCATCTTCCTTCCCACTTACCCAAGTCCTGCCTCTTTCAAGCCTTACCTGTTCTAAGAAATTTTTCTCACAGTGATTGTTCTTTTATGAGTTCCTAGAGCACTGCATATGAAATCAGTAGCACTCATTGTTAGATAGTATGTGCTTTCTTGTATTTTTGTATTTGTTTGTAATCTTGAATTGTAATTCTAATGTTGTCTCTAAAATAAATTGTAGACACATTGATGAGAATAGAACTTAGGCTAGACTTGACTTATAACTATTTCTATCCCCATGACCTATCCCAATATCGTAAGTACAATAATTACCCAATAAATAAATGTGTGATGAAGATGATAGTGCATTGGAAGGAATATTGAATAGAAGGTATCAGGAGAGCTGTTGTTCTCACGAATCAATGTCTACTTTGCATCCTAATGCCTGAGCTGTAACTTAATGTGGAGAGAGGGTTCCAAACCAGACACTTGAGCAGAAAAACAAAAAGTTGGTTACTAGAGCCAACCGGGTGAAAGCACTCCCTTGATGGTTATCTAGTGTTTGTATCTGTAAGCCCTTCTGCCTGTGAGTCTGCTCAGTGGGTTCCTTCAGGCCTTGGCTCCCTATAGGCTCAGACACTTTTGGCTCACCCATTTCAACTTGGGACTTGGGATCTTTTTTTTTTTTTATTCAGTTGATTCATGACCAACTCAGAAATCCTACATTGCCGTAAGTATTAGTTTCCAAGATCTCTCTCAGCGACTGACATGAAGGGGATGGTGTTACCCCAGCCTGGCCATCCCTGTGGGCCCCCAGGACTCTACTGTAGTTAAGGGATGAGCTAAAACATTATATACCTGAAATAGTTAGGGAGCATTTCAGAAAATGACTCTATTCATCCTTCTTCACAGAGTAAGAGTTAAAGCTATTTCTAACAGCTCTGGAAATTTTGATTAGGATGGTAATGGAATACCATCCTTGCTTTATCTAGTTTATGCACACGAATGCTTTCACAATATGGAATGAGCTACAGCAGTCATGATAGTAGAAATTCTGTTCATCGTAGCCTGCCTCCACAATAAGAAAATCTTTTCAGTGTTGAAGGTTGTTCATTTCAACCTTTTCTCAGAAGTCCCTGAGAGGCAGGTGCAGGGGCCCCTTGGACTCTTTGCATAAACCCTAATGAACGTTCTTCCCTCTTCGACTGATAAATAAGACCCCTCTCAACCAACCACAAAAATAAGGCCCTTGTCCCAACTTAGCTTTTATCTCTCTTATCAGGCTATCAGGTGGTCTCAGCTCAGGTATGGTTCTGAGGCGACCAGAAGCAGGACTGGAGCACTGTGGATATCACATGTGCAGTAGTAGGTCCCAGTGTCTTCTACTGTTGTTCTTTGAATGTCGAGTTGACTCTTTGAAGCATTGGTATTTCCTTTGAAATTACTCCTTAAATTGTCATTAGTATTGTTGCTTGGTCTGTATACTAAAGTCAGGGAGTTATCTTCTTTCATCTTATACCAGCTCACCTGATAGTTCTTCAAGTCCCCTCCTGATACGCTGCAGCACAAGGTGGCAGACTCCCCGACTAGAACAGTCAGGGTTTTGGTGTCTGGTTCCAAAAGGATATCCAATGAGACCTCTGAAAGGGAAAGCTCAGGTAGAGAAGCTGTGGGGAGCTCCCTCCACCGCAAGGGGATGGATGTCAGAGCCCAGCTTGGCAACGTGTCCCCCACTGCCCCGCTGCTCCCCCACTCGCAAACATGACCTTCCGGCAGCAAATCATTCCTGCAGCACATTTCTCTAAGAGTAAAAGGCCCAGCAGCTTGTCCTTACCGGCACAGAAGGTGGAGAGGTAGAGGAGGGGACAGGTCCACAGCATGGCTTCGTGGAGGCGGCAGCGCAGTATGCAGGTGCTCTCTGGCTGCTCCTGATCAGCTGCTGTCTGCCCATGAGAAGTTCTGTCTCTTATCAAGGGGGTTGGGTGTTAGTCACTTCCTCAGAGAGGTGTGACAGGCCTGCAAGGTCACGGGTTGGGCTGTTTATTCCTCAAACCCCGGCTAATTACCTATGGCAGGGCAGATTGTATTTGGGAGAAGAGGAGTTGAACAAGACATGGCTTCTGTCTTCAAAACACTCAGTTTTGAGGGGGGCGGTTCCCTGCCTGGGACATGAAGAACACTCCCCCCTGACCGGAGCGGAGCTGTGAGAGTTGAGTAGGGCTGTGTCAGCTGGCCTCTGGACCCCATTCCCTGGGGACAGTGCTGTATCAGCAAGGTGCAAGGGGTTGTGGGGAGCCGAGCAGCCTGCAGGGTCCCCTTGTAGTTCCTGTGCGGGTCCCTTTTCCTTTGGCCTCCGCCACCCCTGCTTTGGTCCAAGTGTTCCTTACCTGCTGCAAGCTATTGCCATACTATTCCAAGAGGTGTCCCCGCTTCCAGACTCCCCCTGCTTTCATCCATTCTCCAAGCAGCCATCATACCGATTTTTCTCCAGACCAGAGGGGATCAGGTCACGCCTCTGCTGAAACTCTTTTAGTAGCATCCCCTGGCCTTTAGGGGACTATGAAAGTCCTGTGTCATGGCCCTAATGATCTCCCGATCTGCTTTTTTCTCCAGTTCCACTTTTGACCACTTGCACTCAGTACTTCAGCTGCGCAAAAGTACTTGCAGGTTCAAAGATGTATGATAGTCTTTATATGTCCAGTTTTTGCACTAGCTGCTCCTTCTTCCTGCAAAACCAGAACTTCCTTCTCCCTTCCCCACCCCAACTTGAGGGAAAGTGTCCCCTGGGTTCCCTGAACTTGTTGGGTCATGGCACTTATTACCTCTATTGTAATTATCTGATAATGTGTTTGTTTTCTGCACTGGACTTCAAGATTCTTTAGAACAGTGGCTGTATCTTATTTATGTTTGCATTCTCAGTGCCCAGCATGGGGCTTTTCAATATTAGGAGCTTGGCAAAGATTTGCTAGTCTAAGCAGGATTTCTGTCTGGAGTTTCCTGACTGTCAAGGAGCATTCTGGGTTGCTCATCTAGTGAAGGATGGGATTAGGAAAGGATTTGCCAAAACCTGGGAGGCTGGTCTTCTATCCATTGTTGTAGGTATAGGGAGAGGGGGCCCTCTGCTCCAGCAGGATAAATCCCACCTGGGTAGACCCTGTTGGTCATTGCAGTGGCCAACATTCTGATGTCACCCAGGGTGGCTATGTGGTATCACTACCCATGTCATCTATAAGCAAAAAGGAAAACTGGCTTTGCAGGGCTAATGGCTCTGATTTTTGAATCTTCTTTTGCAACTTACCAGGAGCTGGGTAAGTTACATCTCCAAGTCTTGATTTCCTCATCTGCAGATAGGGTCATTGTAGTTACCTTGCAGGGATGTCCTGAGGTTGAAATGAGAGAACACGTGTGAAGCACTTATCTTGGTGCCTGGCACACGCTGGTAAGCCCACCGCAGATGTTGGTTCTTTGCCACATCCCTTCTGCTTTGCCATAGTTGGGGTAGTGGCCTTAGTCATAGCTCCCTACCTGAGCCATAGTTACCAAGGGAGACACAGAGCTTATAATTTCAAGTGTGGCACAGAACATTCTGCTGAGGGAAGGAGGTGTTGGCTGAGCTATGTTAGGCTGTGTGTAGGACTTTGGGCAGGTACAGGAGGACTTGAATGGAGCTGTGTCACTCACTTTATGCCCTTAGGCAAAGGAGTCTTGGGCAGCTAAAGATAGAGGCCCGTAGGAGCTAAAGCCCTTGTCATGGCGGGTTTTTGTTGTTGTTGTTTGTTTTTTGTTTTTTTGTCCATCTGGGATGAAGAAAGAATAGGAAAACTTGAAGAAGCAAAAAGACCCCATGGTCAGATCAAATCAACCCACACTGGCTCCTACGTGCCCCAGCCCAGTGCCATTCTCTCTGATGGTCTCTGCCACTCTGGGTCCTTAGTATCACGCATCTATCCATAGGATCACTGGAATCTTAGTGGGAGAGCGTGCCAGAACTTCTGATTTTCTCTCTAATTGGAAGTTTCAGGAACTTCTTTGCCTTTGATTTGAGAACACATCCACTCTTTCCCCACTCCCTTTGAGTTCTTTGGGAGAGAAAAAGAGAAATTGTAGAGAAGGAAAGCTCTTTGCTTGTGTTATTTCATCCTCATATCCCCAAACCTCTCCCATAAAGCTTCAGGGACAACAAAGTCAGACTCTGATATGTGGCCACGATTGCTCTCTGTCCAGGCCCGGCAGTTATGGGCTCTCTGCCCCGTTTCCAGTTGCCGTCCTTGCTCTTGGGTTCCCCTGCTCTGGCACCAGCCGGTCGGGCAAGCAACTGAAGAACAGGGATGGAGGTGAATGAAGAGAGCAAACACCATTCCAGTTTCCCTTGGCCAGGAGCTCAGCCGCTTGGTGTCCCAGGATGGCCTTCAGTAAGTGGTTCTCCTGGGTCTGGCTAATTCGGGCTCGGAACGCTCAGGCGGCTGGGATTGCTGTGTTTTCAACTAAAATGTCTGAGCCCCACTGGTTGTTTTAAAGCAAGCATAAGATATTTTTGGAAATTATTGAGGAATTTCAATGGGTGTCAAGGAAAATCACAGTGTCATTTGTCTCTAAAAAGATTTTGGCTGCCACTGTTCCATCTGCGGCTCGCTCCCCAGCTGTGTGGTGCTGAAAGAAGCAGCTGCCAAACCGAGCAGTACAGAGGCCAGCTGGGACTTTGCTGAGTGGTAATTCTGCTTCTCTTACTGGCTTGGGATCTTGAGATGTAAACAAATAAACTTTTCCATATTTAGTCTCAGCTCAGTTCCTTGAAAATGTTTTCCTGGCTCCCATCTCCCAACGCATTCCGAAATCTCAAGGTCCTAATTCCAATCTGTGCTTTCTGGTCCTGGAACACTCCTGTCATCGCTCTACAACCAAGTACCTCTCTTGCTCCCACGTGTGTCTCCTCTGGTTGCTCGGTTGGGCTGTAAGCCCTACTACAGTGTGAACTCCAGAATGGCAGAAAGTTTGTGTCACGTGCCTTGGTCACCTTGGCCCCTGGCATGGTGTCTGGCACATGGTAGACACTCAATACATACTTCTGAATAAAAAACGAACCAGGCCAATTCTATACTCTGAGGCTTATCTATACTTGATGAGCACTTGTTAACCTTCCTGCTCACCTTCTCTTCTCTGACTGTCCTTCAAGGATCACATGGAGAGACTGGACATCTTCCAGTTAGGTGATGAGGTGGTCGGGACAGATCATCACCCAGAAACCTGCCCTTGGGAAGGACTCCCCTGTCCACACATAGTTCTCTAATGACTTTGTTTTTCTTCCAAACTTTCTTTCATCTTTGGTAGTAGCGCATTTTGTAAAGCAAGGAAGATGATTCCTTTCATGGAGATTCAGCATGGCAGAATCAGAGACCTGGAATTACAGAGTAGGTTTTCCACCGGCAGAGAGCCCTGCAGGGTTACTAGAGTTGTAAGTGTCCTTTAGAAAATCTGGTTTCTCCAGTTTAACATTCAGCAATTCTGGAGATGTGTCATCAATAACCCTGAGGTGCCCCGGAGAAGAGCAAGCCCAGGAGGAAAGTGACTTTGTTCCCTCACCAGACACTGTTTGGGTCTGTGCCTATCCAGGCAGGGTGAAGTCTTTGAAATCTGATCCCCAAAGCCAAATTGTGCAAAGAGTTTTCCTCCAGTTCTTTATCCCAAGAAAACCTTGTTTTGTGTGATTCTGTGCCCTTAAAGGCTGCTCTGGGGGGGCGGGGGGCAGTGCCGAGGACCCCATATGTTGGCTGCAAATGAGAAAGCCAGCAAGACAGCAGGGGGTTAGGGGTTTCCATTGATGAATAAATGCAACATCTGAAGCAGCAAGTGACGTGCACCTTCAGAAGAGAAAATAAGGAAGACAGTCCTATTTACTCCCTGTTCTCAGCTCCGCAAATCACGCCAAGGAGTTTTCCTGGATGGTGCCTTGAATAAGCAGAGGCCAATATGGATGTGTCTTTGTAGAACCTATGTACTTTTGGAATCTTGGGATAATCTTCATTTGATAGTGTTTTAGGATGTCCTAAGGTCAGGTGTGCTTTGACTTCATTTGTAATATTCTTGTCGGTGGGAACTTTTTCAGGTCATGTAGTATGCTTGTGATGTTGATGGAACCAATTCCTTATTTATAATTATGCTCATAAACAACTTTAATTTTACTTTGGGCTCTATATTTATAAATTATTCCACTATCCATTTAATAAGTGGAGGCTACGCTTGTATTTTAATATCTCATAAAGTCTCTATTTGCTTGTTTTATGAGGGTCAAGCAGAAATTACTTTCCTCTGGTTTTATTTTTTTCTATGTAAGAAGACTTTAATAATTTATCAGCATCTAGTGAAAAAGGTCCTGAAGATCTTTTGCATTGTATTTCTCTCAATTTTCATTGATATTTCATTCCTACTAGGTGGGATACTAATATATAAAAGAATGTTTAATTGCCCAAGAGATTGACTTCCCTTTATCAACAAGCTCCTCAAGGCTTAACCCAGCCCAGTGGTAGGGACGTGACGATATCATCACCACCACCACCGAGGGTAGCTGGTGCTAACCGAGTGCTTCCTATGTGCCAAGCATAATTCTAAGTGCATGATGTGTAATAGTTCACTTAATTCTTGTAACAATTCTCCACAGTAATGATTATCATTATTTTAATTAAAAATTTTTTATTAAGTAATCTCTATGCCCAACATGGGGCTCTAACTCGTGACCCCAAGATCAAGAGTTGCATGCTCCACTGACTGAGCCAGCCAGGCAACGACTGTTATCATTATTTCATAGATGAGGATAGCAAGGCATAAAATAACTTGCCCAAGGTCCTATAGCTAGTAAGTCAGTAAATGGAAGACCTGGGATTCAAAACCTAAGAAGTCTGGATTTCAAGTCTGAATTTGAGCTCAGTCTGTTGGCACTATGCTGCCTACTCTACATCTATCTATCTATCTATCTATCTATCTATCTATCTATCTATTTATCTAATCGATCTAGTTTCCCAGGGATGTATATATGTATATTTAATATATTTTTTCAGCTTTTTAGAAATGATGATAGGTTTTCAAGGGTCTGTGATTAAGATGTTGATCGTTGGCTTTGAATTTGTATGTGTGTCCAATTCATTTATCTCTCTGGGTATTGGGGACTATGCTGTTATTTGTCAGGTCAAAGGTTCAAGTAATTCCACAGTATTTAGTTTCACTGCTCATGGCTTAGCAAGATAAAAGTGAGGAGGCTCTACTCTGAATACATTTTATTATTATTATTATTAAAGATTTTATTTATTTATTTGACAGAGACATCATGAGAGCAGGAACACAAGCAGGGGGAGTGGGAGAGGGAGAAGCAGGCTTCCCGTGGAGCAGGGAGCCCGATGCGGGGCTCGATCCCAGGACCCTGGGATCATGACCTGAG